AATTATTTAATTCAGACATTCAGAAATTGTTTTAATATTTTAATGAATAACATAGGAAAAAATAATAAAAAATGGGCAGTAAAAGAATGGCTACATTACAATAACTATAACAGTAAACTAAACAACAACAATGGTACACTTTTTGGTATTGCCTATTTCATTACGAATGGCAAAGGAACAACAACAAATCAGGAATTGAAAACATAATATGGAGAAAGCATAACACATAAGTAAGACCAAAAACATTTTTAGTAAATATTAATTGATTGATCAAAATCAGTCGATTAGTGTTAATCGGTTATGGATTGAGCAAACATAAGACAGAATATGCGTGTTAAGATTAATTAATAAATCATAAATAAATAATTGTAAACATAATCATAATAAGAGAATACTAGTCATTATTAATTGTAAAAAATTGTAATAATTAATTAAAGTGTATAAAATATTTTAATATATTTGTTAGCAAAAGAAGCAAAAATTTATAAGAAAATTAAAATGCGTCTTAGAATAAAACAAGTAAAATGTAAAAGGCAAGTAAAAAGCAAAACACTGTAAAAAATGTATACTGTAGTTTAAAATTTGTGTTAAAAACCACAAAAAAAAAATTTGAAAGTAGAACAATATAATAATTGACTAAAATTTTATTTTAAAGTTGAACTGTTTTAAAAAGACAAATGCAGATGATATTTTCTATAATAGTGAATTAACAGTAATAATATATTTAATAATGTATTATGTTATATAATTAATTAAACAAAATATAGAATGAGAAACCATAAAGTAATAAAAAACAATGGTATAAGTATATAATATAACGAAATGAAATAAAGAAAAGATGTGATTAAAAGTGCAAAAATTAAAAATATAAAAGTGAATGAATAATAATAAATATATACCAAATAGGAACTATATTTTAACTAATATAATTTGTTATAATATTATTATACTTATTATAATTTAAATATAATAATTTTATATAACTTAATTAAAAAATATTTAAATAATAATATTTAATTAATAAAATATATAGGAAACTAGTAATAATAATTTAACTAATATAATTTATTATTATATTATTATATTTATTATTAATATAATATAATAATTTAATATAACTTAATTAATAAAATATTTAAAAAACACATTGAAGTGAATAATTTGAAAAAACACAATTAAATTGAAGGATACATGGTATTAATAATATATACTTAGAGAATTTTTAAATAATTAAATTATATAAGTAGAGAAAAAGTTAAAATATAAATTGTTCATATTTCTTTAAATATAAATATTTTAGACAAGAAAAAAAAAAATAATAATAAAAAGAATATAAAAATAATTAAAATATTAAAAAATAAAATAATAATAAAAAGTCATTCGTATCGTGCAAAGTATAACAAAATCTTTCCTTCAGTAATATTCATTTAATATAGCAGGGTAAGTGCATTCAAAACATTTTTAACAACTTTTTATGGAAATTAAAAAGCTGATATATAATAGAAAATATGTATTTAAAAAAGTTTAATTGTTAACAACACTGCAATAACTGCACTTTTAACATGAAGTTTATGATTAAATCCATTCATAATGAATGATAATCACCTTATGTTATTAAATAATAACAAATGCAGAAGCATTGTCATAACAAAGACACTATTTACTTCATGTAATTCGTTTTCTCATTTTCCATGCAATTGTTGTTGCATTTTGAATGATCAAATTTATTTTGACTGTAGGGTGCGTACGGGCAAAAACATAGAAATATATTCCTATTTCATATTTCTATGTTTTTGGTAACTTGAGCTAATATTTTTTACTGTTCGTGTGCTTATTGTGTTTGTTTTCCATTTTATTCATCTTATTTTAAAATATAAATTATTTTATAGAGTTGTCAAAACGGTGCTAACTAAAAAACTTAATGTAAGGATCTATGTATGTGTGTACAGTGATTCTTTGATAGTTGGTATTTTCGCAAAAATATAAAACAAATGAGAAAATAAGTGCTGAAAAAAAAAATTAATTTTAGATAAATATGCATGCACATACAAGTATGTATTTGTATTTGATTTAATGTTGACAACCACATTTCGAAGTTTTATTGAAAATATTTTATTTCTTTTTTAATAATATTTACTTATTTATACCTCGCGCAGAATAAAACGTAGAATAGTAAGTGATCAGTTAAAATGTTCTCACAAAAAACTATTTATTTTAATTAACTCAAACAGTAAAATAAAATAGTATAAGTATAAATTTAAGATATTCAACAAATTAATTAAAAATATTTTTTTTTGCCCTATTCAATATGTTCGATAAAAAATTTATATCTATTTTATTCTTATATAAGCCTCTTGTGATAAGGTGATACATGCTACAAAATAATCTGATACCGAAAAGACCTATTGTGTCCATAGTTAACATAACCATAAAAAGATTTTCCATTGAACAGATGTGCATGCCTTAAAGAACAATCTAGTCAGCTAGACGACCAAGCTCTGGATGCGTAATATATCAACATATTTCTAGTATTGTTTTCTTTAGAAACAATTTAATAAATGTTTAACAAACATTCAAAATAAAATGCATTCTAAGATTTACAGATATTGGCTATTGTATGAAATGAAAAAAAGTGGAAATTGGGGAAAAACATAAATTCAAATCCGACAGATGCCTTCCTCTCTATGACAGCAACAATTTCCAGTCTCTCGGGTGGAGATATGTGTGTTCTCTCGTCTGTGTCTTCGTTCGTTTGTACATCTGTCATTTAATTTATCAATGTTACTATCCATCCACCTATTAAATCATTCGCGCATTTATTTGATTCTGGAGGCCTCCATTTACAAACTGCTTGGTTCTCCGTCCAACTGTCAGTTTGCGTATCTTTTTCTCGTCATAGATAAAATAATAATCAAGTTTTACATTTATAAATTTGAAAAGGCCTTACTGATATATTATATTAGAACACGAAGTTTGTAATTTTGTATATATTTTTTTTTATTTTATATTATGAAGTTTTCTGATATCTTTCTCAGATTTCAAAAACCTCAGTATTTTTAAGTTCATATGCCTTAGATTCAATTAAAGATAAATAAAATGTAGTAATGGCTTATACACATTCTTGAAAATAAAATCTTTTTATGTTGAGTAATTATAATTTAAGTAATGAAAATATAAATCATTGCCAAGAATTTTATCGATCGAAGTTACTTCAATATACCATTTACACGTACAATTTTTGTTATTTGCTATGTGAATGTGAGCTTCTTTTAATATATCATTGTATCAATATACATATTTATATATTCACAATCCAAATGCAGATTCATTTTTGACCGTTCTTGTATGCAAGACACTTTATACGATATAAATTTATCTGCCTGGAATCGATAAGCAGATCAATAAATATGTTGTATATAAATATGGTTTATGTGATCTTCACCGTCTCAAGTAAAGTTCTAAGTTTAGTTTTGAAGTAATAATAAGTTTTTAATTATTGTATTCGTTAATGAATCTGAAACCAGGAATGCACAGTATGTTCAATATTTATAAAAATAACTAATTATAGACAAAATAAATAATTTGAATAGGATTAATATCACACTACATTATTTGGGATATCCTATATTTTTTCTCGTTTTTTTTTTTTACATTTAATGTTTATGAATTAAGTGGCAGTAGTGTAAACACTTAGTGGCTAACGCTAATGCAGTATATAAGTGTATAAGTATATTTTAAATATTTAAAGTAGAAAAATTTTTATTACAAACACTGTAATTTTTGAGCTTCTCTTTTTTTCCGTTAGATCCAAGTTGTTCTGAAAAATCGGGTGCTGCCCTCTTATTATTAATTTGTTACTTATTTGAAGTCAGTGTTAATTAAGCACATTTACCTCCTTGTCTTTTGTGGCTCTATCTGTTTATCCTCTCGTGGATTTGGTTACTGTCGCTTATCTTCTTGGGTTTTCTTTTATAGTTGTTTTATCTGAATTATGTTAGCATCACTCGTATATTATTAGGCTGCGAAGACCTTTGTATCTCCCTGTTGATGTGATGTTTTTCTTATATTTGAGTTTGCACAGCGTCTGGTTCTTGTGATTATCTATCTTGTCGGAAAGTTTATTTATACCTTCTTTGATTTATACCTCGACCATTCTGTTTTAAGGCCCTTATGGATGTCTTCGTTTCGTATATACCATGGGGTCTTTTTGTTTCTTCTTAGTATTTTGTTTTGTGTATATCTATAGTAGTTCGATGTTAATTTTTGCTGCTGTGCCAAATGTTGTACACCCGTACAGAAGTTTGGGCCTGATAATCTGTTTGTATATTAGAAGTCTATTTTTGATCTTTAATTTTTCTTTCAGGAGTGGCCTAAGAGCACACGTAATTTTGTTGCAGTCTGCAATTTTTCTTCTGATGTGGGGTATCCATGAGAATCTTTCGTCCAGCAATATCCCTAAGTATTTTGCTGTTTTTCTCCATTTTATTCTGATGTTGGTGACTATTCGTCCGTTGGGTAATGCTGATCTCTTTCTGGTGATAATTATAGGTTTGGTTTTTAATTCTTTTATTTTGGTCTTCCATTTATAGATAAATGCTGTCGTTATTGATTGTGAAATTCAATATTCGCGTTTATAACATTTCTGTTTGTTTTATTGCCATTAGCTGTATTTTTCACAATCATATTAAGCTGAATAAATGGAATTGAATTTTGAGTACTACAATTTTTTTTTTCATATAAATCAGAAACGTTAAGTACTTCTTTGATTCAACTATGAGTTTAATTGCATTAATTTTTAATTTTTACTTAAAAATTTTAATATTTTGTTTTTAACTAAAGGTGTACTGCTAAATTTAAACATTTTAATTAATAAAATTTATTGGCATT